TTAAGCAAAAAAAACAAAAAAGAATGTGAAGAAGCCCTAATTCATGAGGTTTGTTTTATCGTGGATCTCAATTTGATTTGCTTCATATGAATTGCGGTTCTCTCCGTCTGAATTCTAGTGTTAGTTGCAACGATTCTTGTTGCAGACATGGTTTTGACTAATGAAACTTTTGTCTTCATGTTTTCATCCTTGTCAAAACTTCTATTAGATTTGACGTGATTTATGAGTAAGCAATAAGCATATACCTTTGGATTGCTTTTTATGTCTCTCTACTTGTGGCTTAATAAGACTATGTCTCTTTGTTCACTTGATCAATTGAGGGGAAAATGCAAGATGATACTCCCCCATATACCAACCAAGATCAACTCAAAACCACTTTTGTCCTCATCTAGTTACCACCGAAAGAGGAAGCATGATCTTTGAATACTAGCTTTGTGGCCTCGGCTACTATTCTTGACCTCATTACACATAGCTCCGCTTGGAATGCGTTGATCTTCTTGATTTTTATCTTCGCAACTATCTTCGTTGGTCCTTCCGCAATCATATCCCAACTTTCATGCAAAGTTGATTCATCGAAAGTAATAGATGTTGCATTCTCTGCCAAGATAAAGGATACTATCACTGATTTTTTCACTTCTCCCTTTGAGATCTCCTCCTTTGGGTTCTCTCCTCCAAGCTTCATCCTTGATTTGCAAGCAAGAACACCATTGCTTCCCCAAATTTTTTTCGACAAATCGAAAACTTCCTGGTTAGAATGTTTAGAAAACATGATGTTTTCTTCTCCACCTTTTCCCTTTTTAAGGGAACTATTAACAACTTTATCAAATCTATTCTTCACTCTTTTGACCTTGTTAGCTAACTGATCTTTCGAAGCGTTAAAAGAGATTTTACTTTTGATATCATGACAAAAACCATCCATATTGTGACTTAGGTCTCCACCTGTGGAGATGAACTTAAGAATACCTTTNAGCAGAGCCACTTCNTCTTCTTCGGTGAATATCCTCTGAATTAGAGGCTTCTTNTCCGTTTNATCACTCAATTTGTTGTCAGGCTTCATCTTGTTCTTGGCAGGCTCGGAATCAGATTCACCTTTTGAGTCAGCTTCATGATGCCTCTTGAGAGGAGCAACTTTCTTCTGAATGGGCTTATCCAAAGAAACTTTCGCCGTCGAGTTCTCCGGTGGAGCCATGTCACTTGATTTGGATTTCACGGGTTCAGAGATCCCTGGCTTTGTGTTGATTTCCGCTCCGACATTCTTGGCAACAACACTTGTATGCATGTCACTTATTTGCTCGTCGTCCTCATCGGAAGACTCAGATTCTTCTTCAAACGAACCATACTCTTCTTCAAACGAACCAGACTCTCCTTCTTCCGAACCAGATTCTTCTTCTTCCGAACCAGACGCTTCTTCTTCCTCTTCAGTCGAAGAAGCCACAAGGTTCTTGATCATTTCGACCTAATTTTTCAGTGCCATCCAAACAGAAGTC